GAGGTCTAAAATTGATTTATTTCATTAAACCGGGTAGAAAACCAGAATGTTTGGTACAACATTAAAAGCTGATTTTGCCAAGTAATCAGCCTCTTCGTTATCAGATCTGGGTACAAAGACAAAGGCGATTTCTAAATCTCTAGCGATCTTCATTATATCCTGCATAATCCCACATATCGGACAATCTAGTGTCCAGTTGTTATATTTAATGCGGTTGTTGGAAAAACAGATGGTTAACAATTTGCATCGACAATTTTAATAAATTCTGACATCTAATTATAATCCATTTAGTTTGTGCCAACTACAAGAATCCATTTCAGTATTAATATCCAGCCCAATATATGGAATCTAGATTTTTGTTAGTCGTGAAAATCTTTGTGGAAACCTTCAGGCTTTAGCTACTCTAATATAAAATATGTAAATAATTCTTCAATCTTGTATAAGAGAAAGATATGACAAAGAGGGATCAGGCAGACTTGAAACATGTGTTCTTGCTACTAGTGGTTCTCTTGGTCTCATGTTCTATCGACCATGCTATTGCTTCTCCACAAGAGTTACTAACCGGTAAGTTATTGACACAAGATAAAAGCCTGATCTTATTTCTTTAGTTATATTTTATAATGTAGTCTTGGATTAGTTAAACAGTAATAAACAATTATGAACTCCTCTGTTTGCTAGATCATGACAAGAGTGTAAATTTATGCTAATTTCATTATTGTATTTTTTTTTTTTTTTGACATTATGCTAGTTTCATTACATTATATAGGGTGGAGAGAAAAGTTGATAAAAGTAATACCATCAAGAAGTAGACGAGGTCATGGCTATTATGTTGGATTTCCAGCGCCACCACCACCATTACAGTCACCACCTCCGTCACTGGCGCCATCGTCAATGTCATTGTCATCACGGTGATAGGGAAACAACAGCTAAAAGCCGGTAAAATATTTTTGATTTACACCATATAAAATAAGATTAGGATCCTAATATATACAATCCCTGATCAGCTATATATGTAATATACGTGTTATTAAATAATTTTTGTTGTTATTTGGTAAAAAGATGGTTCAGTATATTGATTTTTTTTTTTTGAAAACTAAAATAATCAGATGCAAACAAATTATTCAAATATTATATGAATAAAATTATCGTAGAAAAATATCTTACATAACACTTTTTCTTAAAAAAATAATCATGATCCGATAAGTTTACATCCATTTAAATGTAATAATTCTTTTTTTTAGAATCGAATCTCATATTTTTTGGTGTAAAAGTATTTGATTAAATGCACAAACAATTTGTTTACGCTTGCCTAATTGAAACAGGTGAAGAAATTTAGATCTACTAAATCCAACTTTTTTCCGTCCGACGTGAAGCCCAGCGCTGAAGTCTGATAGGAGTGTGAGTGTCCTCTTTCAAACTCAAAGACGGATGAGATTTGGCTTGACGAGCACAATGTTCTTTCGAACCGGATAGAGAATTGGAGATCGAACTTTGACTTTAATTACTGTCTTTTTATCACAACTCATGTGACAAAAGTCTCCATGCTACATAATGTTGCCCACTGTCAATTCGATCGGTTATAATATTTAATGCAGTTGTTGGAAAAGAATTGGTTATAAGTTACATCGACAATTTTAAGATAAATTTCAAAAAATACCACTTTTTAAATGTTACTTTACAAAAATGCCACATTTTTGAAATTTTTACAAAAATGCTACTTTTTCAAAAATTTTTTTTTTTATATTATTTATGTTTGGGTTAATTATATTCTATTAGGGTTTAGTTTTGAGTGTTTAGGGGGTTTTAGGTGTCAAAACATTTTTTAGGGTTTAGAATTTTAAGATATAGGCTTTATAAATCTATAATTAGTGGCATTTTTGTAAATAGACAGCCCTAAGTGGCATTCTTGCAAATGTGCACACAAAAAATGGCATTTTTGTAATTGCCTCCAATTTTAATGAGTTCTGGCATCAACAAGAACCCATTGAAGAATGTATATTAAAAAATATGTAAATTTTGATCATGAAAATCTTGGTGGAAACCTTCAGCTACTCCAAACTAAAATATATAAAACTCTAATATGACGTAAAATTTTCCATGCACCACCGATTTTTCAAAGTTATGATACTACAAGTCTACAAGATATTGTTTTGGTCCTCGTTGACTAAATTATTGAGTTGCCGAAAAAGTCATCTTTTGCTACGCGTCTTTTTTGGGTCCTTTATATGAAATTTGAAGTATTCGCAGAGGCAAGTATAAATAAGAGTATCGAGCAAGAAGTTTAGCAAAGTGAGAAAGAGAGATGGCAAAGAAAGGTCCTTCGAATTTGGGACTTGTATTCTTGCTTCTATTATTGGTTGTTTTGGTCTCATGCTCTAACGATTGTGCTCTTGCGTCTCCACAAGAGTTACACCCATCGTCAGGTTAGTCTTATATCCTAATGATTTTCATAAACTGAGTAGCAAAAAGTTATAGAGAAAGTATGTTCAAATTTGGTAAACTTTTCCCGAAACACCGATGATAAATATCGTAAGTATATATACTAGTAATAATAGATTAGTACTTCAATTTTTTCAATTTCGTTAACTATATATAGACTTTGTTTTGTTTATATGAGTAGTCTGGCTATAAAATAGCAATAAACAAACTTATGCATAACCTATATAATGTTCATTTTCAATGAGTTGAGAAAATACAATAGCATTTAATTCGATTGCTTCTACATGGTTTTGATTTAAAAAAATTAGGTAATTTGAAATATATATATTAAAACTTTAATATTTTAGTCACTTTATTACTATCATTTTTTTTGGTTTGATTTTATTTACCATTATTTTATAAAAATAAAAATAAAACCGATTTGGTTAATTTTTATTTGTCTTAATTTTTCAGTATAGTTAAGATTGTTTAAATGGATTATACATTCGTTTTTTTCGATTTAATTAATTTTAAAGTTTTTATATTATTTTATATATAATAATTTACCCATTGTCTATAAGAAACACTTAATTATATCTTTT